GAAAGAACACTTTGATTTTATTACTGTTTATTATGTACACATTGGAAGAAGAGTGAGAAGCATTCCATCAGAGGATTAGAGGATTTCTCCTTGATTGCTTCGTGCCTCCTGACTTTTAAGCAGCTTCAAATTGTGTGATTACATGCTTGGCACTTGCTACCCATGGCTTGTTTCTGCTTTTCTCTGTGGGTGCCTTTGCTCCAGCCCTCCTCCGAGTGAAGATGCCTGCCGCCCCACATGTGGCAGCCACCTCAGAAAAGCTTTGCTGCAAGTGGCCTCTAGCTAGAAGGCAGTGAAAACTTCCACCAGAAGGCAGCTCTTATAACGCCCTGCCGGCCATTTACCTAACAGGTTTCAACACTGAGGGCTCCAGGCCCTAGGAGTTACCTGGGGTTGGGGGCTGGCAGGGAGGGTACTTCTACCTCATTTTCCATCCCCTTGTTCTACTTGGGAAGCATTTCAGAGACCCGCCTGGTTTACTTTTGTCTTCCCAGGCAGGGAAGTACCTGTCTACCATAGACCCTGACACAATAGGGGTAAGTAAATCTTTGCCAGATGAATGGACGGAATAAAGCATAATAATGTACGAATGTTTACCAACATACCCCTCTCTTAGATTCTAAGACTTTTGAAAACTTTAGTGAGTCCATCATAAATGGAAGAGTCAAGACAATCTGTACAATAAATAATTAGATGGAGCAGGAGGAGTAAGCTTAGGGGGAGGATTTGGGTGGGGAGGGTAAACAAAATCAAGAGGATGGAAGAAGTGAAGATGGGTGTTAAGATTTGTTCCCCTTTTGTGTCCTTTGAAAGGTGAGCGTGAAGATCGAGTTGGCTTTTTGTCTGCTGAACAATTCTTTAAAACTTTCCTTCTTAGAACCTGGACCACATGGATCACAGTTTTATTAGATTTCAGGTTAAATCGTTTAACTTTGGAGTCAAACCATGGATGGTTATAAAAGGAGCATGCATTTCTCTTTATCTGCTGGAGATGTTTATATGTATCAAATTGTTCCCCATTTTTATAGTCTTATATTTTTGTATCTTATATTTTATTGTTACTTCAAATTGCTTTAGGAAATAGGTAGTATGTCAATGAAATAAAGAAAATAAACTATATTCAACTTACTTAGCACCCTGAATATATTCAACTCTTGGAAATGAGTATATAGGATAACACCATCACCACCACCATGATTTTTTTTATCAGAACACATCATGCAGAAATTAACGATGGCCCCTCCCACCCCTTTATGTAGACCTAGCCCATCCATATCGATCCATGCTGAGAACTTGTAAAAGCCTTTCCCCAAGTGATGGCAGAAACCAGATGATATAATGAGCATGAAAATGATATTTTAGCTAAAGTGCAATGTTTTCTTATTCACCAAAGGATTCATACGAGAAAGAAATTTTCTTCTAAATATATGACAAATAAAACATGAAATGGGTAATATTCAGAGCGCAAACTTTCACAGTCAAATTAAACTGCACCCAGGAAAGGAACCTCACATACACTGTGAGCAGATTCAGAGTTTCGGTTGGCATTCCCGTGATAACAGTCAGTCAGTCAGTCAGTCAGTCAATCAGTCATCCATGAGGCCACATAGGAAAGGAGCGCCATCCAAATAATGTGGTGCACAAGAAGAGTGAGTCCTAGAGATCTAGACTGGAGTTAACAATACTGTACTGCATACCTAAATTTTTGCTAAGGAGATAGATTTGATAAGTGTTATCATCATGTTATCATAAATAAAAGGCAAGAGGAAATCTTTGAAAGTGATGAATAGGTTTATGTCAGATTGTGGTGAGGGTTTCAAAGGTGTATACTTATCTCTAAGCTCATTGAGTTGTATACATTAAATGTGTAAAACTTTTCATATATCAATCACAGTTAATAAAGTGGTTTTTTAAAAAGATGACATGAATGGAGGAGGTTTTAAGCACATTTACCCAAATGTAAGACTGTCACTGAATATCAGAAATGTGTGGGTGATACCACCTTTTCTCCTGCTCTCAATTTTTCCCCAGTCAGGCTGACCGCTGCCTGAGGACTCTGCAGCACTTTTGTCTATATCATCATTGATTTCTTACATTGTCACCAGGGATGGCTTAGAGGTTTCCTAATCTTAGTGCATGAAAAATAGACAGTGTTAAGCTTAGGTGAAGGCCTGCTGGGGAATGAAGGAGAAACTGCCTATATTTTTTTCTTTGAATAATCCAAATAAACTACATTCATCCCCTTATCAAGAGAGCTCTGAGTGTCATGATGCTGGAATAAATGCTCCAGCTCCTGGAAGCTTTCTTCATCCCGAGCCTAATTCCATCTATGTCTTTGTTCTAAACGACCAGGGCCCTCTTACCACAGGAATAACTTGCAGTCCACCTACCATTGTTCTCACTGGGGATGCCAGTTCACCGGAAGGAGAAACTGACAAAAACCTGGCCAACAGGTACATCCCATTTCTTTATCGTTGAGCCGTGAATAACAATATTTCCTAGCACACAGGGATTAGACAGCTATCTATATTTTTATAAGTATTTTCTTCTTTCTTGAATTATTTTATTGGTGAAAATACAATTAATCAGCTTTTCAAAATGGGAGAGAGAACTTGGGATTCTTTCATTATTTTTCCCCCCAAAATTATTTTTCCTCTCCTGGATTTGGCTCTTTGCATTCTGCTAGCCTTTAAGAAAAGTACAAATCATAAAAGAAAAGTTTCCTAAAATAAATGCCCATGTATTTGCAAACACGCTTGAAAGATGTGAGCCTTTGTAGACTCCTGCTCCCAGCCAAAGTGGGTACTATGCAGAGGATGATCTCTTGGAAGTGACATTGGCTCACATGCGTGGCATGTCACTGCCTTGGTTTTACACAGCACTGCCTTGGTTTTACACAGCACATGCATTGGTCTAGCTAGATCGTCTAAGTACAATTTTCGAAATGTTACAAAGATAATTCTTATACAAATATACAGTTTGCATGTGCCAAAGATATATTTAACTCATTAATGAGTGACCCATCAGCATAACAAAGCCAGTTCAAAGGAGGATAAAAGAAATCGACATATGCAAATCGGCATATAATCAGTGAGGAGGGAAAGAATGCTGGAATAAAACTGTTAAGTTACATATAAAATGGGTTAATGCACTACAGAACAATGAAACCATATTTTTTTATCTTTTCTCCCAAGCAGAAATCATCTGCTTCTCTACCAGACAAAAAATTATTTATACCTTATAAGTTTTCTATAAGGTCGATGTTCACTCAGAGTCGGGGCCCTCATAAATAGTAAATAGTTAAAGTTACATCTCCTTAGGGCAGTCATTTGAAAACTTTAGTATGCATCAGAATCACCTGGGGAGCTTGTTCAATCAAGATGTCTGGGCCTCATCCCCAGAATTTCTGATCCAGTAGGTCTGGGACGGAGCCTAAGAATTTGCATTTCTAACAAGTTCCCTCGCTTAGACTAGCTTGTAAAACAATGTTCTCATGTGACTTTGAAAGAACATACAGGCATCTGTTTGCCTGCTTCCAAGCTGTGGACAAATTTTCTTAACAAGATGGCTCTATTCTGTCTTTCAGAGCTCACAGTCCCCACAGGAGGCTTTCTCACCGACACTTGAAGGTTTCTACTGCTTCGCTGACTTCTGTGGGTAAGGGCTAGGCCATTTTTATCTGATTTCTATAACTAGAGATAGAGTCTAAACACAACTTTAGTGAGTCTGAGTAGGAAGACTAAGATCTGGAAGACTTGGCCAGGCCGGGCCTCGCGCCCTCTCCTGCTTCTCAAATAGGCCCATTCCTTTGAGCCCAACAGGGCAAAGTTTATCATCCCCTCTGTATTTGAGCCCAAAAGAAGTATGAAGTCCCATCTCAATTTCTTTTGGTCAAAAAACAAGACCAGGGTGTGAAGAGGAAGATGAGGGAATCAAAGAGACAGAACAGCTGTGTGAGGCTCCATTCTGGGGTTTAGGGAGCAGAGCCCTCTGCCCTTCCAGGTAGCCATGTGCCTGAATGCAAGGCTACCCACTCATTCCCCAAATGGTCCCTCAGGCCCTGCTCTGGGCCATCACAACACAGATATGATACAGCCTTGGTTCCTGCCTTGTGTCACTCATAGTCTATGAGGAGACTGAGAAGTGAAGAGATATAATCAGGACAGTATATATAAGGCCCCTCACAGAAATGTTAGGGAAACTGAGGTAGGAAGGGGTTCACTTCTCTCTGGGAAAAGGAAGGTTGGATAGGTATTCTAAAGGAGATAGTATTTGAGTTGTGCCTTAGAGGACTGGACAGGTAGATAAGAGGGAGGAAAGGCCATAACAGAACAACTGAATGTGCTGCCATGTGTATTAGTCAGGACTCTCAAATGACAGAAACCCAACTCACACTAGCTTATGCCAAAAAAAATAAAATAAATAAAAGTCAGGGCTTGTGGTTTCAGGGAGTGCCGAATCCAGGTGCTCAAGTCAGGTCATTAGTAATTGTCCCAACCCATGTTTCAAGTCTCTTGTGTTAGCAGCTTCTTGGCAAACAGCTACTAGCAACTCCAGGCTAACATCCCATCAGTGGAAAGAGAGTTCCTCTTCCCCATATACCCAATACAGTTCCCAGGATTGCCTCTCATTGGCCTCCATGGCCATCCCTGAGCCAATCACTGTGGCCAGGCAGGTTGAACTCATTGACTGGGGAAGGCTCCTGGCCCACTCCTGGCACTTGGGATGAGTTGGGGAGTGGGATTTAGCACCTTCCTAACTAACATAGTTGAGATTCATAAGGGTTACACCCAGTCCAGACTGGGGAGCATGACCAAAAGAAGGGGGAATGAAGGCTGGAGAGGTACAATGAGAGCTCTTCACGACTGAGGGGCTGGAGGGGAGGGGGCCTCAAGAAGAGCATGTGAGGTCAGCAAAAGTGGCTGGGCCCAGTTTGGTATTTGGAAGTCACGCCAGGGACCGTGAAGAATCCTGATGAGGTGAAGCAGAAGAACTGCATGGTCAGATATGGCTCTTAGCAAGGTCACTCTGGTAGGCAGTGGAAGATGGGATGGAGGGGATGGTCGGGATGTGGACTGATGTAGTTGTGTAGAAAAGAGCTAATGAACAGGAATGGAGATGAGGGGCATGTTCCAGAGATATTTATGAGGCAAATGACCACTAGGATTTGATGATCAGTTGGTTGGACATATGGCAAATGAGGAAGAGCAGCTGGGTATCATTCACCCAGAGAAAGGACCATTTTGGAGAAGGATAGAGATAATGAGTGTGAGTAGAGGAAAGAAGGGAGAGAAGGTGGCCATGGGATCATGTTGTTGGTCCATGATCTTTGGCCTGCTCCCTTTATCCACATACCTTAAACTTACTAGCTTGTTGAAGAAACGGAGACCTGAAAGGGGAACAGATAGCACAGAGGTGGGGCTCCTGATGGACTTCTCCAACAGCAGGGTTCAGGACCATCCTGGGAACCTAGGTGGCTTCATGACCATTTGTGGCAGAGGACCTGCCACAGCCACAGGCTACAAGCTGGAGGGGTCAGGCATGCTGAGGAAGCCCTGTCTGTCCCCACACAACTCTCTCCATAGCCTGGCATGGAGTGGAGTTGGCTGACCAAGTCTGCTCTGGGCAGCATCCCTGGGCTGAGGGTGGCAGGGCCATCAGCCGGGGGCCAGGGATTCCATAGCTCTCACACCCTGCGCTGGCCCTCCCTCTGCAGACCCTGCGGGGCACGTCATTGACCTGGTAAATGACCAGCTGCCAGATATCAACATCTCAGAGGAGGACAAGAAGAAAAACCTGGCACTGCTGGAAGAAGCCAAGTTGGTGAGCGAGCGATTCCTAACCCGCCGCGGGAGGAAGTCCAGGAGCAGCCCCGGGGACTCCCCGTCAGGTAGGATGTGCAAGGGGCTGCCCTGAGCCCCTCCGAGGAGGCGTGGGAGTAGGGAGGGCCAGGCCCCAGTTACACTGGGAGCCCTGCTTTCAAAGGATGGCCTTTGACTCACCTGCCCCCAGGCCTCTAGGCCTAGGAGGGCTGAGTCTTATGGAGAAAATCTTGCAAGGAGAAGATTCTCTTGCCCTGTTTCAGGAGTCCCAAAATACTGACCCATCTCTAGCCCAGGAAACTCTGCTTTTTGTTTTTTGGGGCTGTGTCTAACCGTTGTGGCTTCCTGTTTCTATAACGAATGTCGGCCCATATGATATCCATGAACTTGACTGGGGGTCCCCCACCCCTGAATCCTGCATGGGGAGAAATCCTCTCTGTGATGCCGTGTGCACAGACTCCTGAATCACCCCGTGTAGATAGAGTCTGTATGACCTCCCTACCTTCCCCAGGAGGCCCTGCAGTATGGTACCTCCTTGGCAAAGGTCTGGAGAGGACTGCACTGGGCCCCCTCTCTCTAATTTCCAGCTATGGGCCCCAGGAAGGAGCCTAGTTTCTGTGGGAAAGGAAATGTGGTCTTTGGCATCTTTACGGAATTTCTGGATTAGAAGGAAGGTTTTCCTGGGCCCTGAAATCCACCCTGCTATACCTTTGGCTAAAGTCACTCTTCTTTCTGAGCGAAGAGTCGAGCCAGGTTTTACACAAGTCTGAATGTGCTCAGAAGGCAAGGGGAGCATTGGAAATCAGGACCATCCTGGCAAGTCTAGGAGGTACGGCCTTCGGAGCTGTGCTGCCAGGCAATGCCAGGTCCTCTGTTTCTGGAAGATGCTTTGAAGTCAGGCCAAGTAGGCTGAGAAGTGTGACCCCCAATTCTCACTCCCCAAATGACCTAAGTGTCCCCCTTTGATGGGACGGCAGTGTTGGGCTGCGATAGGAGCCTTATATGGCAGTCCAGAATCAGTCCCTGACCTCAGGGAGGCAGACTAAGTTCCCAAGGGTCGGAAATACCCGAAAAGATGTCTTTGTCAGGCTGACGTCCTAAACCTTCATACATGCTAGCCGATTTGTATCTGTCTCCACAGCTATTTCCCCAAACCTCAGCCCCGGAGCGTCTCCGGCATCCTCTCGGAGCAACTCGCTCACCATCCC